TAGATATGATAGTACTAATAGACAGTATAATATTTTTTTTGATTCAACTGCTTTCTCAGTAGTGACATTTTTTTTTGTTTGTTTTTAGACATTTACGTCATAGGGAATTTTTTTCTCCTTTCATCACAATAGAATTGTTTACGTCAAAATTGTCGTCAGTCAGGTTACAGTAGACAGTCAAACATTTGATGTATTGTTTTGTAAAATGTCTCTTTTGTGTTCATATAAACTTTTATTTAGATCCATTGAAGTTTCTCCTATGTATGTTTTGTGAAAATTATTACTGGCGATCTCATTCTTAGAGTTCATAGGTAGAATCCGATGATTATGCCAGATAGAATTTTGTTATTTTTCCCTTTGTAACAACTCTTACAAGATTTTACCATTCCTGGCAGACCTTCTAATATCACAGCTTAGAATGACCACATGCAAAATTGATGGAACGGAAAGAAAAAGACTCTACATGAATTTGGCTCGATAAAAACAAAAATTCTTGTAGACCTACCAACATAGCAAATTTAGCCTGATGAAGTCCTGAAGGACGAAACGCGTCACAAGTAAACATTTTCCACTTTGTCATACAATTTTCCAAATACTGTTCTTGATATATATATATATATATATATATATATATATATATATATATATATATCGCTATCTCATTCATATATATATTAATCGCAATGTCATCTACAGTAAATTTGCGCCCAAGTTCTTACAACCTTTCGCTATTCCTGTCTCATCTTCTATCAGAGTGCGGTATATATATATATATATATATATATATATATATATATATATATATATATATTAAAAGAAGAGGTGCCGCACATGTTTTTGGTTGTAATGTGAATATTTTTAAAAAGATATTATGCTTTAGTATTTTTTTAATCCACATTACAACCAAAAACGTTTGCGACACCTCTCTTCTCTTTTTTTTAATATACACACTTTTCTCTCGTTGGAACCACTATAAACTCTTTCATTTATATATATATATATATATATATATATATATATATACCTAGTGAGCCAGACAAACCTACCTAGGTTTCACCTAAACGGATCGCCAGGGAAAGCCGACTTTCCCTGACGATCCGGCTCACTAGTTTTATCTAGGTCTGCTCTACGATTGTATTGAGCTCTTTTGTTAGTTAGTTTTTTACTCGTATCGGTTTTTTTTTTTTGGGCTTCAGACCTGCATCTGTGCGATTTTTTTTTTCGACAGACTTTCATGTTTCTAGCTCTTTCTTTTTTTAAAACCTTTTTTTCCCTCGAGATTGATTTGATTATGGTCAAATCAAAAATTCGAGGGTTTTTCGAAACGAGTATAGTTACCTATATTTGTATTTATATATATATATATATATATATATATATATATATATATATATATAAATTTTGTAAACTATGTCTAAAGGAAAAATTAGCTATAGCTCTATATAGGGAACCTAATCACTTATTAAATTCTAAAACTGAAATTCTAAACAAATGTAGACATAGAAAACGTCGGTTGTTAGAAAAGATCTCCTCCCCACCCAGTAAACACCCTCCCTCCTTCGTCATTTTTAGAATAAATGTTTCTCCCTAACCCTCCCTGTTGTTTGTTTATTTATACTTTTTTTTTGTTTTTTGGTCACGTGGTTATGTTTTTTTTTTGTTTATTGACTATAAATTTTCCGTTCTTTCTTTACCTATTTAGCCGGCTTAGGTGAAACCTTGGTAGGTTTGTCTGGCTCTCTAGGTTTAACTATATATATATATATATGTGTGTGTGTGTTATCAAAATATTTAACCGAATATCAAAAGCAACCAATGGCCTTGGGAAGTTTATGCATCTTCTATGAAGTGTTCATTATATACATATTCATTCTCTCTCTCTATCTATCTATCTCTCTCTCTCTCTCTCTCTCTCTATATATATATATATATATATATATATATATATATATATATTTGACTATATATTCCGTTCTTTCTTTACCTTTTTATCCAGCCTTCCCTGACGATCCGCTTAGGCGAAACCTTGGTAGGTTTGTCTGGCTCTCTAGGTTTAACTAGCTCTGCTCTATTGTATTGAGCACTTTATTTAGTTATTTTGCATACTCGTATCGTTTTTTTTTTCTTCTTTGGGCTTTGGACTTGCATGCTGGACGAATATTTTCGGTTAACGTACATGTTCTTGGTACTTTCTTTTTTATACCTTTTTTTCCCTTTGATATTGGTTCGATTATTTTCAAACCAAGACACCGTAGGTTTTCCGAACGAGTATAGTTTCTTATACTTATAAGATTTCTATTAATAATAATAATAATAATAATAATAATAATATATATATATATATATATATATATTAATGATTGATGTCGGGTTGTGTCAGTTTTATAGCTCGACTTACCAAAATTACAAATACCGTATACACTTACGTATCAAGCGACTTTTGAAGGCCTTATCTTAAAGCTAATTTTAAGGGGTTCGCATCATACCCGAGATATAAGATTAGCGTATGTACTACTGGTCCTGGCTATTCCGTTGACCAAACTGTTAATATATATCCATTTACTGCAGTCAAATTAGCTTCAAAATTAGGTTTTCAAAGGTTCCACGTGACGCAGCTATATAGCGTATAGGAAGGAAATTCCAGCAAAAATTTTTCAAATTTCATTTTGGAAGAAATATGGTACAAGTTTTGAACTTTCGTAATCTTCAGGGTACGGAAAGACATATGTTGCGTGTCAGCACGAGCCAAAGAGCGTTGCGACGTAGCCACACTTCGCATAAAAATTTGGGGCGTAATTTTGATATGAATGTCTCATCCATGAAGAAGTTCTGGCCAAATTCATTGTCATAGTTTAATGAATCATTCAGGACTTGTCCACAAATCAATGGAATTATTTTTTAAACGTTTCTTCTTTATTAGAAAATCTTGGTAAAAAATATTTTTGCATTTGATACTTAATTAATTTTCTGTAAGTTCGAGAAATTCTTTATATAGCGCTTAATTTTGTTTTAGGCACAAGTCCAAGGAAATATAATCATCAATTTTTTTTTCTTCACACAGGGACCTGATTACTGAAAATCTGCTCTAAATCGTAAAATAAAAAAGCAATAAATCTAAGACATTATTTAATTAGAAATGATTTTAATTGCTTTTATGAATAAAATATATTATGGAAACTAATGCTATGAATAATGGATATTTACAAGAATTATTTTAATTTTTAAAAATTTTAATAATAATAATTTATAAATTTTTCAATATTTTCAAATTCTGTATTGATTTGTAGCGGTCAAGTGATATCGTTAATAAATAAAAAACGATGTTTACTAATAATAAATGGCAAAGTCTTCTAAATTTCAACAACTGATTTCGATGTTTCTGCTTTTATTCTTGTGTATAAAACACACAGATATCATTCGACCGGAAAATAAGTGCAGTAGGTATAGTAAATTTAAAATTTTATAAGTAATTTTCTCAACAAGCCTCATCATATGTGATTGAAGATGTAGGAATGTTTTATATTCCTAACACAATCAGCACAGTACCTACAATTCAATAAAATATTAAAATATTTAAAATAATTTAATATTACTAAAGGAAAAGTCAGCAGCTCAGAAAGATATATCACTGTGATAAAAAATGTTTTTCGGCGAGCTTTGTGCATAAAAATACGTAATATTTATTTCAAATTAGATTAATCAAACATTACATCAGCTAATTTGCTTTAAATAAAGTTTCAGGAAAGAATATTTAATTTTTTAAATAATTTTAGTAAAGAAAATTATACTGTGTTGACAGATTTGCCAATATGGAAGATTTTAGAAAATCATTCCAAACAATTTAAGTTATGTTTCAAATACTGCTTTTAAATGCATACGCATCGCTTTATATATAAATGCATACCCGCCCATATATATATATATATATATATATATATATATATATATATATATATATATATATATATATATATCCGAATGTAATGAGAACGAAAATAATATAAATTCTTACGTTCACAGCATTAATTCAAAAGAGGGTTCAATACCGATAGTAGAGCAATAATTATTCATCATAATTTTTTATACAGACAAAAACAATTTACTCCATACAAATGCAACTTCGTTTCGGTGCATTTAATTGCACATCGACAGGTGAGAACCAAAACCAGTTGAAGTGCAATTAAATCCACCAAAACGAAGTTGCATCTTTGTATGTAGTAAATTGTTTTGTCTACACACACACACACACACACACACACATATATATATATATATATATATATATATATATATATATATATATATATATATATATATATATATATATATTGATCATACCACTACATTCCTATTTAGAAGATTCAGGATACACCTATCTAACCATAGCTTAATTAGGACTCATTTAAAAACACACCTATTTGAGCTCATTTACGGCTCATCTAAACAATCAAGAAAAACAAGCAAATCAGAAACATACTCAAAGAAAATAAAGTTTTCGTAGAATTATTAACATGTAAAAGTGATATGGAAGCAGTAACAATAAAAAAAAAAAAACATCAATACTCAATAACATCAACTACGAACACGGCTACAACGTACTGACAATGATAAGAAAATAAAACATTCCTATATCTTTAGATAGAGACATAAAAATCACACAATGTCGTCTTTAAGAAAACATGTATAAAAGAGGTATTGCTGCCCAAATACACAATATATAATATATATATTTATATATAAATATTTGTGTGTGTGTGTGAGAGTGCATAGGTGAGTTTGTGGATGGTGTGTATGTGTTTGTGTCCACACGCAGGCGCCTGTGCGCGTGGTTGGGTTTCAGTTAGATTATATGTAATTATTTTCAATACGACTGTAATATTACGTGCAGGTTGAACATGGAAGGGAAGAGGCTATTTTCGAGCATTTTTTCAAGAAAGTTGTAGAATTATAAATGGGCTGAAAATCAGCATTTAATGTTTGCGTTTTTAATAGGCATTATGTTAGATTACACTGTGATAAGATGCATGTAAACAGGTATATATATAGATGGATTGATAGATAGTTAGATATGTACAGAATATGATAGATAGATAGATAGATAGATAGATAGATAGATAGATAGATAGATAGATAGATAGATAAAGGAAAATATTTGTAAATACATCAGAGATACATTCTGATAAGACTGAAAATGCTAGATAGATTGGTATATAGATAGATCTTATAGATAGATAAGAGATATAGTCTGATAAGACTGAAAATGATAGATAGATAGATGTGTGCAGAATATAACAGATAACTAGCTACATAGATAGATAGATAGATAGATAGATAGATAGATAGATAGATATGGACAGACGTAGATAGATAGATAGATAGATAGATAGATATGAAAATAAGTAGTTAGTTAGATAGATAGATAGATAGATAGATAGATAGATAGATAGATAGATAGATAGTATAGACAGATAGATAGAAATATAAAATAGATAGGTAGATGGATAGATAGATAAATAAATATTGAGTGAGGTAGATATATATGAGCAGACTGAGAGAGAGAGAGAGAGAGAGAGAGAGTGAGAGATATGAATAGGCTGAGATAGATAGATAAATAGTGATGAAAATGCTGAGAAAGATAAAGATAAGATAATAGATAAATAGACAGTTATGAACAGACTGAAATATATATATATATATATATATATATAGATAGATAGAGAGAGAGAGAGAGAGAGAGAGAGAGAGAGAGATAGATAGATAGATAGATAGATAGATGGATCGATATAAATACACTGAGTGTAAACCGGGCCTATTTTTTTAGAAGCTGAATTTTGTAATAATCAATTATTAAAATTTTATATATATATATATATATATATATATATATATATATTTTTACCCCAGATTTCGAACGCTGAAAACCGTGTGTCGATTGAAATACGTGTGACCTCCAGATAGAAAAAAAAGCCTTCGCCGTAGCGTAACGTTTAACATTGCGGGGACCGGAATCGATGCACACTTTTCGCATGACTACTGCAGCTCGTTCCGTTCACATAGCATTACTTTGTGAAATCCAAGCAGTTGCATCGGCGTGCTGTCTATCCCATCGGCAGTTACACTGAAAAGATTTCACAGTCCCTGACATGCCATGAAGTATGCCAGTATAAGACGTTGATGAGTGAGCATTATTACCAATCCAATCTACAATATCAACAAAATCCATCCAGCTTATAAGAAGCTGACAATTTCGATCTATCTTCGCCTATTGTCTTTTTTTTTAAATTAGGCATAGATATATCGCTATAAACAGAAATTTTAGAGGATACACATGTTAATGTACAGACAATATTTAAACAAAGTTTATATTAGTCAACCAACCTGACTCCTTGAGAATAGTTATTAAAATTATATGTGATTTTTATATACATATATTCATTTAATATAGGCGATTTTTTTTAATAATCTGGCTGTTAAAAGAAAAAGATATGTATTGGTTAAAATAAACGGAACGTCTATTCAAATATAGTCATCTTCTAAAAATGACGTTTAAACTAATAAAAAATATGTCGGATGAATACTTAAAAGAAACATTACTTCCTTTTATATACACACACATGCATATATATATATATATATATATATATATATATATATATATATATATATATATATATATATATATATATATATATATATATATATATATATATATATATCTATATATATATACATATATATATATATATATATATATATATATATATATATATATATATATATATATAGATATAATAATATTTTTTGTTTAAAAATATGATTCCTTCGCTACATAAGAGTTCTCATGTTTCAAAAACGAGAGCCGAAACCATCCAAATAATTATCCAAATTTTTAAGATTAAGTTGAATTGAGGTGTTTAGTCCCGTTTCATCCTCAAGCGAAATTTTAGGAATAAGCTATCTTATGTAGCGAAGGAATCAAATTTTTAAACAAAAAATATTATTATAATAAAGCTCTACTTCTGTATGGAGCACTCTCTTCTTAAAAATAAAAAAAAAACAAAAATACTAAGGAACCCGGTTTATGCACCCAACGTGTTCTTTTCTATTTTCTGCATACATGTGCACTTATACACACACACACACACACACACACACACACACATATATATATATATATATATATATATATATATATATAATGGTAATATGGTAATATTGGCAATCAGTGGTGTTTTCTAAAAGGATGTAGATCCATGGAGAGCTGTATGTCATGGACAGAAAAATAATATGATTATAAAAACACAAACCCGTAAAAAACATGAAATAAATATAATCTCATGGCTTTTTAACGGTTCCTGATTTTATAATATCTATATACATACATACATGCATATATATATATATATATATATATATATATATATATATATATATATATATTTTACATTAAAGACTGCTTTTCTTACTCTATAGAGTATATGTGTGTTGCTGCAAAGTATGTCTCGTTCATATATCAGAATGTATTTACCAATTTTACATACATATATTTATATATACATAACAACCATAGGGTTTTTTGATATTACTCAATTTTCATCTCCCCTTCAATCAATATTTGATATTAAATTTTAAACATAGACGATTGTGCAAACACACTCACTCATGCATACATACATACTCATATATATATATATATATATATATATATATATATATATATATATATATATATATATATATATATATGTATGTATATATATATATGTATGTATATATGTATAGGCATTACTCGATTAATGGTCATTCGATTAATGCTCTTTCGATTAGTGAGCTCGAATTTTATATACCAAAATTCGATTTTTGCATAAATAATACTCGATTAGTGCCGTAATATATATATATATATATATATATATATATATATATATATGTGTGTGTGTGTGTGTGTGTGTGTGTGTGTGTGAATTATGTTTGTGTATCTATTGTGTATCTATTAAGATATCACAACAAATAATTTAGATATATTTTCCTAGTACTTTACTAATACTTTGTACATTAGCACAATTTCATCTTCAGTGTCTCCTTTTATCTAAGACAATATGTATATATATATATATATATATATATATATATATATATATATATATGTATGTATGAATGTATATATATATATATATATATCAACATTTATATATATACAAATATTGAAACTCTCGAACGCGCATATATAAATTCGCGTGCAAAAACACATATATGCGTGTGTGAGTGATTGTGCGTGTGTGTGTGTGTTTGTGTGTGTGTGTGCGTGCGCGCGCGTGTGTGTGTGTGCGCGCGCGTGTGTGTGTGTTTATCTCTGTGTGTGTCTGTGGGCTCGCGTTTATGCGCGCCTGCGTCAGTGTCTGCGTGTGTGCGTGCGTTTGTTCGTGCGTTTGTTTGTAGGTGCCGGTTTTCTTGTAATCAATAATCATTGGTCCAGAAATAAGGCTTTGCGATCGAACATGTAGAGATAGGAAGGGATTTTTATGCTTGTTTTAAGATTCTGAATATTGAACGCTTTGGAAATCAGCATTCCATCTTCTTGCTTTGAATTAAGATTCTGAATGAATCCATTGAATATAAAGATACGTGATAGATAGATATCAAGTGACTGGTGCATATAGGGGGAATAAACATATCTACACAGATATGAACATATTGATATATATATATATATATATATATATATATATATATATATACGTGTGTGCATTTGTGTGTATGTGTGTGCTTATCAATAGAGAGAGAGAGAGAGAGAGAGAGATTAAAACACTCTATTAGACAGGTAAATATATAGAGGAATTTTTCTTATTTCCGAAATTTTATCTAGGAAATTTTCAGATATCTCACTCCTTCAATATAACTTGAGTCAAGTGAAGACCGAATAATGAAACTCATCACATGAAAACATATTTTCATATTTAGACAGAAGAGAGATAGATAGATAGATAGATAGATAGATAGATAGATAGATAGATAGATAGATAGATAGATAGATATAATTTGTCTGTCCTGGCTAGATAGATATGAAAATATTGAGATATATACATTCGTAGATAGGTATGAAAATACTGAGATAGATAATGAAGTGACTGTGCTTCATAGATAGATAGAAAGATAGTGAGATAGATAGATATAATTTGACTGTGCTAGCTAGATAGATATAAGAATATTGAGATATATACATTCGTAGATAGGTATGAAAATACTGAGATAGATAGATAGATAGATAGATAGATAGATAGATAGATAGATAGATAGATAGATAGATATAATTTGTCTGTCCTAGCTAGATAGATATGAAAATATTGAGATATATACGCTCGTAGATAGGTATGAAAATACTGAGATAGATAGATAGATAGATAGATAGATAGATATATGGATAGATAGATATGAAAATACTGTGAAAGATAATGAATTGTCTGTGCTTCATAGATAGATAGATAGATAGATAGATAGATAGATAGATATGAAAATACTGTGATAGATAATGAATTGATTGTGCTTCATAGATAGATAGATATAATTTGACAGCGCTAGCTAGATAGATATAAGTATATATAAGAATCTATTCGTAGATAGGTATGAAAATAGATAGATAGATAGATAGATAGATAGATAGATAGATAGATAGATAGATAGATAGATTTAAATTTGGTCAATAAATCTGTAGCCTAAAAAATGGAAACCTTATTTATTAAACCAATATAACGTTTATCGACTCCTTTCTTCCAATGCCCATACAACCATTCATCGTTCGAAGCTTCTATCGTAAAACGATTTTTAACATATATCAACATTAATCTAAAAATAGTATTAGGTTACACATTTACTGCAGAAGTTTGTGCGGGTTTATGATGGGTGATCAAAACTAACACCTATATAGGATTGAGATAATTATATTTATATTTACCCCTGTCAACTTCTGAGTTTGTACATGGAATTTATGTAATCGTTCGGCCCACTCGTCAGGAGATATCAGATATATACATATTGATTGTATAACGTCTGAATATATATAACGTTTGATGTTATATATATATATATATATATATATATATATATATATATATAGATAGATAGATAGATAGATAGATAGATAGATAGATAGAAAGATAAAGTGGAAAAAATTATTTGTGACGCGTTTCGTCCTTCATCGGACTAAATTGTTAAGTTGGTCACCAATATAACATTATTATAAACTATTTTTCTCTCTCACTGTCATTCTCTCTCTCTCTCACACACACACATACACTCACTTATATATATATATACACACACACACATATATATATGTGCGTGTGTGTATATATATATGTATATATATATACAAAACACGCCCCCTTATATATATATATATATATATATATATATATATATATATATGTATATACACACATATCTCTCTATATATAAGCACCGCCCACACATATACATATACATACATATATATATATATATATATATATATATATAAAAATAACAGTAAGATATGGAATCCAGTGTTATTATTGATATATATATATACGCACACACACAGGCACGCCCCCCACACACACACGTATTTGCACTTAGATCAGAGAAAATAGAAGTATCATAGCGGAAAGAAGAAGTGAACTAATTATATAAATATGACTTTTTGTATGTGTGTGGTGTGTCTTTCTGAGTGCGAAATGTAATTTTATCAAACTGATTTCAGTAGTTTCAGTTTTATGCTCAGAGTAAAAGAAAAAAAAAAGAAAGCCTAATATCTTATCGTGATTGTCGCAGCACAATCATCGTACATAAATATTCCATATATGCGACATGAATAAAAAACACATGTTTGTATATAGACTTTAATTAGCGTCTTCCATAGAATCTAAAATTATATATTAAACACTAACGAAGGTTGCTAGAGTTGCCGAAAATTTGTAATTTCCAATAAACGTTATTGTTCCTTCACATGTCAAGTAAATAGAAACATATCGTTGTCCCTATATATATATATATATATATATATATATATTTATTTGTGTGTGTGTGTGTGTGAAAAGTGTGTGTATAAAATATATATATATATATATATATATATAATTATTTATATATTATATGCGCGGTATTATTAGAGAGCGCTCAATATCAGAGATAGAGCTAACATGTTTGTCTGACGATCGCAAAAGCGTGAAACCCAGGGTCACAAACTCACATTAATCCAACCAAATATATATATATATATATATATATATATATATATATATATATATATATTCGGCCCTTTAAAATTACGGTTGCTTCTATACAAAGCCTTCACCACTATAATCTCATACATCGAATGCGACGGGAGACTCCACTCTCTCTCTCTCTCTCTCTCTATATATATATATATATATATATATATATATATAATATTAAGCAGCAATTTTTCGTTTATGCCTGTTTCATTTAAAACGACGTTATTGTTTTGAATAAAGTTTGTTTTACAATATTATCTCACAGACTCTAATCAACAACAGCATCCCTTACCACCTTATAAACCACCAAATTAGATTATTTCTCCCCAAAGTAAATAATAAAAATAGTTAACACAAAGTCAAAAACTACATAAACATTTATTACAAAGACCAAATCCACATTAATTACAAACAAGACGAATCTTCACTTAGAAATATTATAAAGGAATATACGACTCCTAATGACCCGAATAAAAAAAATCAAATTAATTATCTACTATAAAAAATTGAAGACAGCTAAACTTATCCTCAAAAATAACAACACCCCAGTTAAGTCAAAATTACAAAGACCTATCTATGAGTTCAAATGCCCCTTAAGAAACTATGTTTCTGATCAAACCGGACTCATAAATAATTACATCGGCTGCACAACTACATGCTTATCCAGACGCCTTACGTTACACCTATCTGATCACAGCTCCATTAGAATCCATTTAAACACACACACAAACTTACCAGACTCCATTAGAAACATACTAGTAGAAAACACAAATATAATAACTTCATCCACCTGTAAAAAAAAAGATTAAAAATAATGGAAGACTTAAGAATAAAAAATAAACAGCCAATTCTTAAGAATATTAACTACGAACAAGGCAACAATGTGCTAATCGTATTTGGAAATTAAAACATCCCCACAACACACTAAAACATGCATATAATGCACACACTCAATTAAGCAATTAAGCTGGAATAAAGGTAAAGCCGAAAGCGGTCAGAACTATAAAACATTGGGACAGTTTTTACACATTCCTTCTCCAAAAAAGAAAGCTCTTGTTCGAACATAAGGAAAATTAAATAGAAGCTTAACCATAGTACCTTGTCTGTCGTTTTAATGAAACATGCATATATATATATATATATATATATATATATATATATATAATAACAATCAGGCTATCTAGGAATATATATATATATATATATATATATATATATATATATATATATATATATATATATATTTTTAAAAACATTAATTCGAGATTTCCATATTTCCTACAAAATTTCTCATTAAGGCCGGTAAAATTATTTAATAGTGTTTATTTAAAAGAAAAAAACAGAGCGTTTACTCAAATAAGTGTATCCATAAATAAGTTATAGAGAAAATCTTTTAAAATATTCCGATTTAATCCATTTCCTATAATAGATTGTTATTCTTTACATTTGAAAGCATTTTCATAGTGGACATCGTGAAAAATCGTCGAAGGAGTGTGGTTAAAAGCAGTGATTCGAGCGTTGCTAAACAGGAAGTCCTCCGTGACTGAACAGTCAGAGCACACCTGGATTAATATATATATATATATATATATATATATGAAATAGAGAAAATGTATAGAGTAGGCTGAGAGAATGAAATAATAACACACAATCAAACACACACAAGTATACACACACGTACATGTATATATATATATATATATATATATATATATATATATATATATATATATATATATATATATATATAATCTTAGAAATGATTAAAGATATCTTACTGAATTACCTGAGGATTTTATAACATTATTGACACTTATTTGAGCAATAAGAATGTATAATTACTCTCCAAGCTTAACAGAAACCTGAAACGATCATAAACGAAAATGGCATGTTCATCATTAATTGATCATAGCTAAGGATTGGATGCTTATTGAGGATTGAAATTATGTTCAAATATATATATATATATATATATATATATATATATATATATATATATATATATATTCCAGGTCATTTTCAAACTTATTAAAGGTGACCTTTGCCCACTTTAACCTGCAAATCTTCTGTTCTGGAGTAGCAAGTTGCCCAACGGATTTCACTTACTGTTTCATTTTCCAGTCTTTTTCACTGCTCTATGGATACCCAAAGCTGAAACTTCTCTGTCAAGTGCCAAACGTCCTATAAATAAAGTTGTATCTTTAATTCATCGCTTTAGCTCTAAGTTGAAATGATGACCCATCTTACTTGAAATAAGTTGTATTTCGACAGCAAGAGTTTTAATCAAGCATGTCTGGATGATTTCTGGCTGCTTAAATATACCTTACATATATATATATATATATATATATATATATATATATATATATAAGCGAGAGAAAGATCTAAAAGATCAGCCAATTTAACAGGGATCTCATCTCATCTCACAATTCTCACAATTGCTCTATATGTAGCCTCCTTTGTAAATAACTAAATGACACTTAACATTATCATACAAAATTTTATAACTGAATCAACAGGCTGTCAAACCCTCATATGTCGAAACCGACGGGAGAGTCCATTACATATATATGTATATATATATATATATATATATATATATATATATATATATATAATTCCGCGTTTGAAAAAAAATTATAGATACATCCATAAAAATTCCATGAAATCAGATAAAGATAAAAATAATAATCATCTTGACAATGATTAAATTAAAAGCCGAAACCGTTTGGATAATCAGAACATAGGGAGTTTTTCACACTTCATGACCAGAAAAAGAAAACACTTATGCGAACACAAAAATATTAAACAAAAGACTAAATTGCAGTAAGATCGTAGTAGTCGATAATGAAACTTGTATATATATATATATATATATATATATATATATATATATATATATATATATATATATATATGTATATATATCTATAAGCAACTGTTATAGCGGAAACTCCTCCCTTTCTCGTGTCAAACGCTTTATGGATTGAGTTGGATCTTTTCTAATTGATTCTTTTAGCTCTATGTTGAAATAATGATACCTCTTCGTGATGCGACATCCTGATTCAGTTTTCCTTTCTACGTTTCCCCTCTTTTTAAATTTATTTAACGTTCCCTTGATGCTTCTTGACTTTGAAGATGGAACCCAGAGTATGAAAGTTGGTACCATTATTGAAGGCCTGAATGATCTTTTTCCTCTCACCATTGCTCATTTGGAGCTTCAATTGGCTCACTGAACAATTTTAAACTGTTTTCTTTCTAGCTGAATGACTCAAAGTTCACTGATTCTTAGGGCAGATGGGGTTAACATGGCTATCATCGTATCTGAAAACTAAATTCCTTTAGTTCTTTTTATGAACTAAAACACTTTATGGAGTTACACGATTTGGACACATTACATTGTATCTAGACATTAAGAAAACTAATTTGAGAGGATCACAATAAATATATATCATGCCTAAATACACATCTCTCTCTCTTTCTCTCTCTCTCTCTCTCTATATATATATATATATATAGTATTTACATTAGTCGGACTATT